CTACACTTTGTTTTTCCTAAATATCACTTTTACTAGCTAGTTCTTCTGACAGATAGTTTACAAAGTCTGTTTACCAGATCACAAAGGCCTAAGACACATACAATGTCTAATATTAAGTTTGAAACTTCAAATCTATGCATGATAACTTTCTTTACTGTTCAGTAGATCTGCAGCACCTTTTCATTACTGAAAGATCTACTGACCTATTAAAGGTCAAGGAGTTTACATTTAAAGCTATTAATTTAAAATGCTACAATTTGATTCTTTACACTGGCTTTCAATACTTTATAGCAAAGTTATTTGCAGCCTGCTCTGTATTAAGCTATTCAGACAGAAGTAGAGATTATTAACCAAGCACTACTATTCTATCCACCAGAGACAAATAAGGATGGTTATCCAGCTTCGCATTAGTCATCCAAATGCAATAAGCTAGTTTATCCTTTTGTTAAATAAAGCAGTATTTACCAAGGCGCTTCTGGATCAGGGAATTATCAGTAAGAGCAATGCGCTGCTTGTTGATCTTGCCATAACCACGCTTGTAGATCAACTCATGCACAGACTTCAGATTGGGATAACTGAAACAGTCATGTAAAGAAAAATAATTTTAAGTCTTTGCAAACCACATTCCAGTTAACACCCCCAAAAGAAATTTCTCTAACAGCATAAGATGTTTTCAGCATGTCCCAAATGTAAATACAAGAGCAACAGAGAAGCAAAATTTACACAAGTTCCCAAGAACACTAAAATGAGAGAGCGTAATCATCTCTAGCATCACCTTTTAAAGCACTACCTTAATCATGTTTTCAATTCAAAGCAGGGAAGGCACACAAAATAAAAAAACATTTTGAACATAAGGGAAACATGCAAGTCTAGTGTAGCAAAACGCAAAGGGTGCTTTACATTTGCACCCCAATTTGATAAAATCGGCCATTTCACTCACCCCCATGCAATATAGGGTTCAACAATCCGCAACATGTTGATGGAAGCTTTGTTGAGTTTTACAAACGTGCCATTAAAAATCTGCCGCAAGCGAAGAAGCTGCAACACCTTGCGGACCTTAGGACTGACACCATTGGTACTAGAGAACACAGGAAAAAAGCCTCCATTAACTACATCCCAGAAAACTCTAAGTATCAAGTTAAAAAAAAACCCAACACAACAGTATTGTTCCAAGATGAGACACATCACTATTTTACCAATTACACAAAGCAAGCTTAGTCAATTATTTAACACTGAAATATATTGAGGTAGTAAGTTAAAACAGATCTATTTCCATTAAAATAATTAAGCTAATGTTTATTACTGAAAACAGTTTAGAACTAACTTTGTGCTCTCCTGAACGTAATTTCTAATCATGCTTTTTTGTAGTTTAACACTTTACCAAGGGAGAGTTAAACAAACCTTTCAAACAAAGCTTAACAGAATGTTAGGGAATAATGGCATGTAATTTTATCAAGATTACGGTGAAACAGAACAACTGTCTGCACATATTTTTTGTCTTGCCTTCTTCTTAGAAATCAGGGCTTCCTAAATACAGTAGACATAGCCAACATAATGATTTTGCACTTGATTAAATAAGCCTCTGGCACATGTACAACACAGTGCCAACAGCTTTCCAATCCATCAGTGGAAGGCTTGATCTGCATATTTAAGCCCTCGAAACAGAGAAATAACATTTGAACACAAAATTGTTTACATCTGTATTCTATCTTACCCTCTTATCCTGATCACAAATGCCAGTTTCGGTTCCGCTGGAACGTAGTAATTGCCAGCTTTTCGAGCCATCCTGGCCATACGAATCTCCTGCCTATACATGTGCCTGTACTCCTTGTGGTAAGCTTGGGCTCTTGCATAGATGAGTTTTCTTTGTGCCTTACGGTACTGAAATCAGTTGAAAATTCCTTAAGATTACATAATGCCTTTTAACACATGAAAATCACCTACAAATAACGTAGCATATCTAGAATTTCTCACAAATAAAACAGATTAAAGGACCATCTGCTCATGTCACGAAATACAGAATCATTCTATTCTAGAGAATCTGGAAGACTCTTATATAGCTGTGCTGCTTAGCTTTGAACAACGTTCTCATGCATCAAGCTTATGCTCACAAAGAATATAACCTCTTACCTTGTAGAAGTCTAACTTTAATCTTAAAGACAACTATACACTTTGCCCTTACTGTGCCCAGAACTGGTTACTGACCAAAAGAGCATATTTCAGTCAAAAACATTTTAAAAAGTATCAACATGCTAGACCTAAATCCTGTAAACTTCTGTACTGCGCTACATCAACAGTAGTGGCTGATACTGCAACAGATAATTCAACTTAAGGAGTCACAAAATAATCACCTTTTTTATAGCCAATATCTTCTTCTGACGTTTGGCTTTGATAGCTGCATAAGCCTGCCGCTTTTTCAGCAGGCTTTCCGGTACAGATGGCACCTTCTTTGCTCTAAATGAAAAGAGAAAAAAAACCAAACTTCTTTTAGCCGACATGAAAAATTTGGGCTTTAGAAGTGACACATGACAAACATCAATGCAAACTCTTAAGACAATGCATATACAGGCCTCGCTGCCTCAAACCAGTTCATTAAGGCATCCTTCACATTCCCACTGTTAACAGGTCTCAATGAAGCTTGAACAAATATACTTGACAAGAAAATCCAACAGAGCAGCTGCTGAGCTGCACACAACCACAAAGACTAAGACCACTTGAACATCAAGAGGGTTTTGCCCCACTTTGCTACAGTCCAATTTATAGTAAAACAGTCTGTTTCAAGCACGTCACTTTCCGATTAATACACCTTTCAACAGGTACTTTAAGAGAATGACTAGTTTAGCAGTATTTTGAAGTTTATTTCACAAGACTTTAAACTCAGATGTTAAACTCTTAGAGGTGACAAAGCTTGCAAGACGAGTGTTTACAGACCCATAATTATCCAGACGAACTCCTACCTTAAGCGTACCTGGCTACGACTCCCTACTCAAGCCGTGCACGGCTCCGCGCACTCCCGCGCGGTACTGACGGCCCGCCCGCCAGTCCAGCAGGAACTCTGCCGCCCCAGGTCCCTCACCCACAAAAGCGGCGCTTGGGGGCCAGCTCTCCCCCCCGCCCCTTCCTCACCGAGAGCCGGTGGAACAGCAACCGCCACCTGCAGAAGCGACAGGACCGGCGGTAGCTGCATCCCCGCCGCGCTGGGCCCTACCCTCCCGCCGCTCCCAGCCCTAGGCCGCCTGTCACCTCTCCCGCGTCACCAGTGGAGACCTGGTGACTGAGGAGGGGCTGAATGGAGCACGGCAGCGGCGGGGGTATGGAGGAAACACCACCACAGCTACCGATGGCAGCGGATTATCCCGGGGTGAAACAACCACTTACTCCTTCTCCGCCATGATCAGCGCCGGAAGAGAAAGGGCAGGCGCATGCGCAGGACAGACTTAACCCATCTGCCTGCGCAGTCAGGGCCCTTGGCGCCAGCAGGACCCCGGCTTTGGGCGTCTGCGGCGGTGCCTGACTGAAGGGGGGGCGCCGGGGTGGCCGGCGAGTGCCTGAGGTAAGAGCGAGGTAAGAGTGCCCGGGAGCTGCCCTCTGCCTGGCGGGACCGGCTGTATCCCGGGCTGGGCGGGAGCCGCTCCTCCGTTAAACCCGGCCTTCCCCGCAGGAGGCTGAAAAAGTGCCCTGCGGCGGTGGGGCTGCCAGGCATCTCCTGTAACGCGGGATTTCCCCAATTCCATTTATTTTTTCTTAAAAGCTGTACAGAAAGCCTGCGGGTCGCCACCCCCCCGCCCGGCGCTTTCAGCACCGAGGCGGAATGGAGGCTGAGAGCGGGGAATCGCCGCTCCTGCCGCCGCCCTCCTCAGCTACTTTCACACTGACAACCTGGCAGCCTGGAGGGTGAGGGGAGCCGGAGGACGACCGAGGCAAAGGCCGAGCCCCGTTAGTGGTTCCCAACCGTGCTCCTCCGGTGCGTCCCCGGGGACCGAACCGCTGCCATCAGGAGAGGCCCGGGCTCCCGGGAGCGTTTCCATCTCAGCAGCGGGATGGAGCCCCGCTGGAGGAGCACGGCGCTCGGCTGACTTCGAGCGCTGCTGCTCTGCTCACCCGCGCCCAGGCCTGGGTCACCCCATCCATTGCACCTATGGGATCCTTCTCCAGGATGTGTGGGGAAATGGGAACCGTGGGCTCTGTTTGTGTCAGTCTGTTTGTATTGGGTTGGCTTTCATTTCAGCTCACCATACACAAAGAACAAATGCATAGCTAGAGAAGGAATGAAGGGTTCGGGAAGCTGTGCTGCTAGCAGAGCCACCTATCCCAGGACAGCGGCTTTTGATCGGGAGGGTTGCTCAAGGCTGCTGACAGCGGCTCTGTGGCCTGATCCTGTGAACACCTACCTGTTCTCTTAAAATCACCCAAGGAGGCACCGGCCCTGACACATCGTTACATATGCACAGGAAGAAGGGAAATTAGTAGAACTTGGAACAGGAGTTACCCAGTGTAAAAAAAGCGTAGGTGCCTGTGCCGGGGATAATAAATGCTGAGCTCTGTGTTTGCTGGTTTTATTTGTTGCCTGTTGACAGCATGCAGAGGTGCTTGGTAGCACTGAAGAGCGTTACTGAGAATGCTTTGGTCTTGAGTTGCAGCTATATCAACGTTAATTTTTGTAAAAGAGCATTACTTTATGCTAATATAGAAGCTTGTATCCCTTGATCTCATTAAAACTATTACAGATGGAGGCAATTAGAATCAGCACACAAACGTGCGATAAATCACCTACAATACTGCCAAAGTAAGAGGCTGTCTACGCTTTCTCACAAAACTTTTGAACTCAAATTTCTGCTCTAGTCCGTGAGGCAGCATTCACAAAGTTCCAACAACTTTTCTGAAAACAAGTGGCTGCCCTTTGGCCTGTGGCTGTGGACGGGCAGCAGGATGAGCCCTGCCCACCCGCGTGTGGGAAATCGCAGGGGCACACTCTGCTCCTCGTCCGCTGGAGCCGGCAGATGCCCGGGGGCAGGCTGCACCGCTGGCGGTGGCCGCAGGGTGCCCGTCCACAGCAGGCGGCAGCTGTTAACTCACGGAAGAAAATACTTCGCGTGTGCTGGTACTTCCCGTTTCAACCGGTGGCTGGTTAGATATTAATAGCCTCTATATTTGTCTGACAGACCAAAAGAAAAATCCCAAAACGTCGGGTTTCGTTCAGCAGTTCCTCGCAGCTCAGCAGAGATCCGCGAGGCCGGCAGGCCTCTGGGAACCTGGGGAGGCCCCGGCGGCTCCTGTGCGCCGGCCGCTTCCGTGCGTCTCTACCTGTGAGCACGAACCTTTCACGCTCGTCCGCGCTCTTGTAAGCCACGCTCCGGCCCCGGGCGGGCCGCTGCAGGCCTGCCG